ATTTTAGGTCCATCAACTGTGTGATCCTTCTTTGCATGTCAGCTTGATTAAAACAAGATCTTATGACAATACACGGAGGCTCATATTGCTTAACCCTTTCTTTACTGTCCACCAATAGCAGCAAATAACACAAATAGAAAAAATATAACAAATACAGAGACACCAGCCAATCTCAATCCAAGTCCCAGTATAACAGCAGGCACCGCCCCTAAAGATTCCTCTTTCTTTGCTGCTCCACAGTCAAGATAAGTACAAAAAATGTTTACTCTTAGCAGTATCTGTTTTTCATTGCCTTTATCTGCTTTGGTTACTTCTTATTTGCTTATAATCTTGTTATTCTACTTTATTAGTACCGTTTTTTGGTTTTCGGTTAATTTTATTTACCTTTGAGCCCAGGGTTCCAGACCTTCCTTTGGAGGATTCTTACATGTGTTTCTCCTCTCTCTTCTGAACTTATCTTGTTACTCCTATCCTTTGGGTGGTGCGTAGGGGTTTTTCTGCCCCTTATCTCTTTTATTTTTTTAATTTTCTCTTATTTTTATGTTCTGGGTCTCTCCCCCTTCTTCCTGGCTGTTTGGCGCCCTTTTGCATCCGCTTTCGCGCCACTGTTTGGGCCTTTCGGCTTAACTTGCTGCAAATTTGTGCTGTTCATGAGTTTGGCCGTGAATTGTACTGTTCTGCAATTTTGCCGCAAATGTTTCTCGTTCGACTGTTTTGCGCAAAAATGTTTTTTTTGGGGTAGTTTTGGCAGCGAACTGGCCATTCATTCGTTTGTTACCACGAATTCGTCCTGTTCACCGAGTTTTGGTTCACGAATTGGACGCGTTTGAGGGGTTTGCGGCGGCCATTTTCTGATCTTACCCATCCTTCTGGCTCTGTCTTTGCCTCGTGTCTACCCTATCTGCTGGCCGCTACCAGCCTGTATTATAATTATTTTGTCTTCAGCTGTATTTTGTTGCCAAAGGGTCTAGTATTGTGCTGGTTTTTTGTGGGTCTCACATTGCAATATGCCCAAGGCTAAGGTGCCTGCCTGCCCCCTTCCCTTGGTGAGATGGATATACCTCAAGGCCTGGGGAACCCCTTTTCAGTTTCAAGCTCCCCTTCATCAGTAGTTGGCCCTATGTCTCATTCTGATGAGGCTCAGTCCCTGGCGCTGAAATGCTTAGTCAGGGACGCCTCTATAGCCCACTCTCAGACCATCTCCCAGGCCTTACTCTCGCGTCCACTGGAAGCAGAAAGGTCGGGTCCGCTGACATGCCAGTTAAGTGCCAAATCCAAGCGCTTAACTCCTTCTGCCTCCAGAACCTATATGACTGGTGAACCAGTCACCCATGATAGCGTGTCTGTATCACGCAAAAGAGCTTTTCCATGCCAAGCAAAACGGGCAGGCGATGAAAATGTGCTAGATGACCCTTACCAAAGTCCTTACCAAATTGGGATGGAACCCTCATAAGGGTTTGGATTCGGGACTTAAGTTGTGCCAAGATAAACATTTGGACGTATTTGGTCCCTTGGCTAAGCTCTTTGACCTGGAAGAACTCCATGGCTGGGTGCAGAGGGCAATTTGCATTGTGAGCAGTGTTAATACCCCCCTGTCTATAGAATGGCATAAAGCCATTCTCTTTAAAATACAGTCAAAATTGGCCAATCTCACCCTCACTGAGGTCGGCAAGGATGCCCAAGGACTCTTGTTTGGGAACTCCTTTATAAAGGACCTGGGACATTTTGTTGTGACTTTTACAGCCCTTGATAAAGCCCAATCCTCCATGAAGAGGGTAGTTCAAGAGCGGGTCTCTACCAGGGCCGGCAGATTCAGAGGTCATCTGTCCCACCAAACCTACTACAGCTCCTATACTCAGTGACCCACCCTATCAGGAGGCAAGAGGCCGGTCACCTTTCTTTCCTTCACATGGAAGGCCATGGCAGTCCAGAGGCTTCAGAGAGAACTCCGGCTCCAGACGCCCTTACGGTAAGCTTAGATCTACCTCATGTTTCTTCTCAGGTTTGTGTAGGGGGCAGACTCCGTGATATTTTCCCAGCTTGGTCAGCCATCACCTCCGATGCTTGGGTTCTGCCCACTGTTCTGGATTTTCAGATAGAGTTGGTCAGCTCTCCTTGTTACATCCCTCCACCTTGCCCAATCTCATTCTCCCTACAAGATCGCGATTTGATAGACGTAGAATTGACGGTCCTTCACAAAAAAAGGGTGATTGAAATAACTCACACGTCGCCTGGCTGTTGCCGTCTTACCCAGACCTTCTTCTGGATCCAACAGGCCTACGGCATCTGCTTCTGCTGGACGGATCCCTCCTGCTGCTTGCATGGTGAATTTCAGGGGTTCCTGGGATGTCCAAGGGGTATCGGATGCAACTAGATGCCTCCTGGCAGATGCATGGGCTCCCGGTACTAGACGGTCATATGGGACCGATTGGCGAGCTTGGGCTGGCTGGTGCCTGGCTAGGAACATGGATCTCGTTTCAGCACCTGTGACTGCAATCCTTCAATTCCTTGCTATTTCTTCAGCTCATCAGGGTTTTGATGGTTGTCCCACGGGCCAACACCCCTTGGTGTGCCAGTTGCTTCAGGGCTCTTGACTGTCGCACCCTCCTCTTTAACATCTCCAGACGTACTAAGATGGCTATTCAGTCGATATCGTATCCGTTTTTTCCAGCTTCTCCGGCGTTGTGTCCTGTTGCTTGTTTGAGCGAGTATGAGCTTCGGACAAGTGCGCATCGTTCTGTATCGTCTCCGCACTATTTCTCTTGATTCGACAACTGTTTCCAGTACTACCTTGGCTCGCTGGGTGAAGTGGGTGATGTTGCAGGCTGGTGTGGTTACATCCATTTTTGGCGCCCATACTTCCTGGGGGGTCAGCCAAGTCTATGGTGGCTTCAGGTGCGTGTCTGGAAGACTTGATGAGGATGGCGAACTGGTCGCGTGAATCCAAGTTTTGTGAATTTTATTTTTGACCAGTCCCTCATGTTTTTTCATTGGTTGTTGGTCAGCTTTAAACTTGCAATATGAGCCTCCGTGTCTTGACATAAAATTACATAATTTTGCTATTTCATGACGAAAAGTAATGATTTTATGAAAGACACGGAGGCGAGTATTGTCCCATCCTTCTAAGTTTGTTTTACTTGTTTCTCCCTCCCTGCTGATTTTCTTCTCTCATATAGGGATTCCAGGGTGTGGTAGGTATTCTGTTGTATGCACCGTATTTATTTAGTGGTTTTATGTTCATGTGTGGCCTGGTTCAATTTTTCTTGTTCTTATAATGTGGGTTTTGCTCTGTTTGTAATACAACCTGCTATCTGTGGGGTTTCATGTGTATTGGCAATTGCAATTTGGTTTTAGTTTCGATTTAACCGTTGGGCTCCTGTTCTTTGTGTTTTCACAACTTGATTTAGTGTTGCTTGATGGTCCTCACTTCTTCCCGGTGTGTTTCGCCTAAGATGGCTGGTTTCTGTTACTGTCTTGAAGTTTGTTTCTGGTTTAGAAATTCCATGGACTGCAATTCACTGGATTTCGTTACCATGTTTTCTGGATTTTCAGATTGTCTATTGGTTCCTGTTTTCTGTCTCTCCTCGTGATGTGTCGCATATCCAAAGAAAGAGGAAGCTTTAGGGGCGGTGCTTGCTGTTATACTGGGACTTGGATTGGGATTGGCTGGTGTCTCTCTGTATTTATGTTCTTTGCTGCTATAGGTGGACAGTAAAGAAAGGGTTAAGCAATACTCCGTGTTTTTTTTACAAAATCATGAAAATAGCAAAATCATGCAATTATATTCCTTAAAACGGAAATGTACAGAAATGTCGATAAAACAGAAACACTACTCTGCAGAAAGCAAATGACAGTAAATTATTTATTACATTTTACCTTCTGCCACCTCTAACACATTAAGTAATTCATCACAGGAAAGAAATACTGGATTGCACAGAGCATACTTCACAAACTAACATATAGCACTGTTAATCAAATATCCAAACAAATTACTTATTAGGGCAACCACCTCATGTGCCTTAGGGTTAATTAGTTTGGAAGCATTCATAAAATGACCTTTTCTACCTCAGTAGAGGTTTTACATTTTAGCTTAAAGCAGCAAGGTGAATTGTTATCCTAGGACTCAATTAGGAGGCTTACTTGCATGCAACAGGTGAGCTAAAACTTTAATTGCATTTGCCATTGCAGTAGTCAAAATGTCTGTAATGTAAATATGCATGGGCATGCAGGATAGTGTGTTTGTTGTTTTGTCTGTTAGTTTATTATAGATATCGCTGCCATCTCAGACTAGTGGGAGTTTGAGTGCAAACAGTCTCAAACAAATCCCCATTGAGATTTTGGGTATCACCAGGGAAGCAAGTGGCATTACTGAGACACACCACTGTAGACTTGCCACTTTCGGTCCCAGTTTTATACTTTCCATATGTCAAGATTCAAAATCTGTGTCAGAAACATCACCAAAAATGTCTGCCGAACGCTTAGAGGCAACTCAGGACATATCTAACAAGTCTTAGCTGTCTTGGGTCCCTAGTGAGGACCTATATATTTACATTGAAAACTAGTACATCCATATGTGCAGTCTAGAATCACATTTCTAGGCAAGCCTCCTGCCATCCCTAGGTAATAAGTCACCCTCACATAGGTTTCATTAATGAGGTCATCAATTGTTCTTGAAATCATTTATGTACATATCCTTCCTCAGAAATGTACAGGCCCGGACTGGCCATCGGGCACACCGGGCAAATGCCCGGTGGGCCGCGGTGGCCATGGGCCGAGGCCGGCAGGGGAGCTCCCAGGATCTCCCCTGCCGGTCTATGCAGGGCCGGCACTATCCGAGCGCCGGCCCCGCTGTTTTCCATGAAGGGCCGGTGAGGGAAATCAAAGATCTCCCTCACCGGCCCACATGCTGTATAATGCGGCCGCGGGCAGGGGGAGAGGGAGGGAGACAGCCGCTAGGAGAGAGGACCCGGCGGAGCTCTAAATTAGAGCTCCGCCGGGTTCCTCTCGCGAGATCCGGTGCGTTGCCATGGCAACGACCGGATCTCACCACGAGGACCACCAGGGAACCCCGCCTCCCAGTCCCAGGGATCAGTGTGCCGGTCCCCCCCTCCCAGGCTAAAGGTAAGAAGGGAGGGGGGGACATAATGCCTACTTTATTTATTTAACCCCCCTCCCCCCTACACACACAATCCATTCTAACATTTATACAGCACTCTCGCACCCATCACTCTCACACCCATCACTCTCACACACAGCACTTTCTCACACACAGCACTTTCTCACACACAGCACTCTCTCACACCCATCACTCTCACACACAGCACTCTCTCACACACAGCACTCTCTCACACACAGCACTCTCTCACACACAGCACTCTCTCTCACAGCACTCACACACAGCACTCACACACAGCACTCTCTCACACACAGCACTCTCTGCACTCTCTGACACAGCACTCTCACACAGCACTCTCACACACAGCACTCTCTCACAGCACTCTCACACACAGCACTCTCTCTCACAGCACTCTCTCACACAGCACTCACACACAGCACTCTCTCACACAGCACTCTCTCACAGCACTCTCTCACAGCACTCACACACAGCACTCTCTCACAGTACTCTCACACACAGCACTCTCACACACAGCACTCTTTCACACAGCAGTCTCTCACAGCACTCACGCACTCTCACACACATAGCACTCTCACACAGCACTCTCTCACACGGCACTCTCACTCACGGCACTCTCACACACATCATACACAGCACTCTCACACTCATCAGACACACACACATCACACAGAGCACTCTCACACACCGCACTCTCACACACATCACACACCGCACCCCTCAGACACACATACTGCACCCCTCACATACACACAGAACCCCCTCAACACACTGCACCACACACATACACAATACTTCCAAATATATATTTATATATATACACACACACTACACTCTTAACATACACACTCTGGATCCCCTATACACACACTAGATTCCTTGTAAGCAAACACATACTACACCCCTAAACATACACTACATCACCTATATACACACACACACACACACTATAGCCTGTATGCACACACTTGCTATATCCCCAATACACACATTCTCTACAGCCCCTAGCCACATATGCATCACATTACACCACAAACACAACATGACTAAAACCAACCTTATTACACAATACCACACCACAATCAGCTCACTCTACACACACGCAATACCACAAGCAGGCTCCAAACACATGCACAATACTCTTTCCTGGCATTTTTGTCTCCTGGTATCTTTATAGAGACACCAGAGACAATTTGCAAGGAAACACAGTGCAAGCATGTTATTAAATTTGCTTGCACTGTGCAGAACAAATACAGGGCTTTTTTTATCATGCTAGAGCTCTTCAGCAGAGCTCTGCGCATGGTCTGCCCTGGAAGAGCATTGAACCAACATGCTCACTTTGAGAGGGGGCGTGTTTGTCATTGGTGATGACAAAACACACCTCCTCTGCCCCCGCCCCCTTCTTAGTGGGCCGCTGTGTTAAAAAAATGCCCGGGCCGAATTTTTCTCCCAGTCCGGCCCTGGTGAGAGTGATGGGTGTGAGAGTGATGGGTGTGAGAGTGATGGGTGTGAGAGTGATGGGTGTGAGAGTGCTGTGTGTGAGAAAGTGATGGGTGTGAGAGTGATGGGTGTGAGAGTGATGGGTGTGAGAGTGCTGTATAAATGTTAGAATGGATTGTGTGTGTAGGGGGGAGGGGGGTTAAATAAATAAAGTAGGCATTATGTCCCCCCCTCCCTTCTTACCTTTAGCCTGGGAGGGGGGGACCGGCACACTGATCCCTGGGACTGGGAGGGGGGGGTTCCCTGGTGGTCCTTGTGGTGAGATCCGGTCGTTGCCATGGCAACGCGCCGGATCTCGCGAGAGGAACCCGGCGGAGCTCTAATTTAGAGCTCCGCCGGGTCCTCTCTCCTAGCGGCTGTCTCCCCCCCTCTCCCCCTGCCCGCTGCCGCATTATACAGCATGTGGGCCGGTGAGGGAGATCTTTGATTTCCCTCACCGGCCCTTCATGGAAAACAGCGGGGCCGGCGCTCGGATAGTGCCGGCCCTGCATAGACCGGCAGGGGAGATCCTGTGATCTCCCCTGCCGGCCTCGGCCCATGGCCACCGCGGCCCACCGGGCATTTGCCCGGTGTGCCCGATGGCCAGTCCGGGCCTGCCCTAAGCTGTAATGTAATCACTGCCTTTACAACAAAAAGCCTGCAGGAACTGTCTATCACCAGAACAACTACAATAAACGGTAGTCGTTCTGGTGAATATAGTTTCCCTTTAAGTATACATTTGCCATGTTTACAGATGCACAAGGTGAGAGGATTTGGGTTGTTGGGGGGGCCAGAGATAAGAGGAATTTAAGATTGTAAGAGAAATGATATATCTATATCCCCTAAATTAGTTTATATATATACACCTTGCTAGGGTCCAGATTGCTATCAGTCTACCCCTGTATTGTATATAGATCACAGTTTAACTTGGGTTTAATTACTGTGGCATATATTTGGTGAGAAAATGTACAGCCTCACCTGAATTTTTTTTTTCAAGCTTTAAATGAATTACATTTTTGAAGTGCTAATTGTGACCACAAATCCGGTAAGGTGTGTGAATTTATAATTCTCATCGCGTTATGTCATGCATTGTCTGCATGTTTGCTCCGGGTGACGTTTAATAAACAGAACATTTTGTACTTTGGAGAGAAAAAAAAAAAAGAGATTGTTTGGGATGACTTGCAACATCCCTTCCCTGACACGATGGGTGGAAGTGGTCATGTCATTGTCACTGAATATGAAAAAAAAGGAGGTGGGCAGAAAGAGCATGACAAGGCTGACCATACAATGGGAAAGTCTCCAAGTGACATCACTGCCGGTCTAGCACATTCACTGTGCTGATCTGGAAACTACGCTGAGAAGTACTTTACAAACACCAAGTGCTAGATTCTCTTATCAGAGACAGGAATTTCTCTGGTAACTGGAAAGTGATTTCTCTATAGCCTATAGATGTCAATGGGAAAACTGCTATTCGGTACCTGGAGTTAAATATCTCTTGTAATAGAATCCAGCCCTAGATCGGGTTAGGAAAGTAAGGCAATGATTAGAACTGCTGTACAATTCTGTGTAATACAAGCGGCAGCCATTCAGTAGAACGTTCTGTCCGCAACGTTCTATTCGGTACCAGAACGTTCTATTCGCTGTCAGTGCAGTCTATTAAATCGCTGCGCCGCATTTCATTTCCTGCGGGCTTCCCTTTCTATCCGGTTTGCTACGTAAGCAATGACTTCAATCGTGCGGGCGGGGCTGTGGCTAGTAGGAGGCGTTATAAGGAAGGGAAATTAGTCAATGGCTGTATCCAGAATCGTACTATAATTAGATCTAAACAAACAGGTAAATGGGCAGAAAGAGTGAGGGCGAGCAGCTGGTGAAGGTTTCATAGTCTGCAAAGGCACAGTGTAACTGAGATCAGAGAGAGAGAGAAACGAATCTTGTGATCTTCTCATTGACTGCACAGACACAGTGTATCTGATCAGAGAGAGCTCCTGGGAGAGACTGCCTGGACTCCGTAATCTCATTTTCTGTCTGCAATCAGGAAGCAGAGCCTCCAGTGACCCTCTCCTGGCAGAGTGACAGCCTGATAAGACCCTGCATTGATCCAAACGGAAAGAGAGAGAGACAGCCGTGAGTGGTTGGAGTGCAGGGGGCGGTGTCTGGCTCTGCCTCTGTATATGGATTGTCCCATTCACTCTTCTCAGCAGATCAGCATGTCTGTCCGTTTACGAGAGGAGACTTCTCAGATCCTGGAGGACTTTCTCCAACATCACCTAGATGGAGGACACCAGCCTTCCCCCAGTCCTGCTGCCCAGACCCTGCGGAGGGTAGCCGGGGAGATGCTGGACAAGAACCGCTCCTTTTTTGACTCCTGCAGCCAGATCTCTGGCAATCCTAAGGATGTTTTACAGACTGTGGCCGCCACGCTCATAGAGGATGGGGGGCTGAACTGGGGGCGCATTGTGTCTCTTATCATGTTTGCTGGAGTTTTGGTAAAAAGGTCAAAGGATCAAAGAACTGCGACCCCAAAGGAACTAGCCGAGGTGCTGAGCCAATTCCTGGCAGAGGAGCAAAGAGACTGGCTTCAGAGCAACGGGGGATGGGTAATTATTGTCCTTTTGTTCATAATCTATTTATTATTAAATCCATGATGAGTTAGGTTACCATCTGCTCAGATTATGAATTGTGAATTCTGGAAGCAAAACACAGACAGCATCAATCTGCAGTTTTGGCAAATGACTGAGAAGAAATGTAAATACATCCTCCAAAATCCTTAACCACCTATTTCAAGAACCAGCTTAGCTGGCAATTAACATCTGGTCCCCATGAGTAATCTTATTCTTCAGTCTACTACTGTTGTTCAACATTCCATATAGATTATTTTTCATGTTTTTTTTTTTTTTTATTTTTTTTTAATTTTTTTATTATTATTATTAATTTAGTTGGTGTAGACCTCTATTGGTGCCCTGTGTTGCTGACCTCTTTAATTCAGAGGGTTAATACGAAGGATTTAGTCAATGAATGAATATTTGAGTGTGGAGGATTGTCAACCAAATTGCAAATTGTAGGCAGAAATGTCAGATTAGGGGGTTAATCACTAAACTGAGAATTGACACTCTAAATGCAAAGTGTAGGTCAAAATCTTCATATCTGAATTATTTTACAACTGAAGTTAGTACTTTTAATTCACTACAGTTTGGTGATTTGCCCTCTGCTATGTTGGCTAAATCCTAGCAATATTGCCACCAAACCCCAATTCCCTCTCCAGCCATATCTAGTCGGGAGCTTGACCGGTCCAGCAGTCTCAGATGCACAGTGGAACATGTTCCAATTTCAGTGGGCCTGTCAGTGTTTCCAGCTGTTTTGTAAGAATTCTGAAATCTGGTTTAATGTGCAGTTTCTGCAGTGATGTCTGAGTCACATGCAAACTATTGGGAAATGACTCATCTTAAGCCCATGGTAACCAATAAACCTATATTTGGTTAGGAAACCAATCTTCTAAAAAAAAAAAAAAATTAAAAAAATTACAGCCACTTTAGACATGCCATTCCAAATAAATCCATAATCTGCTGTTCTCAGAGAGTCACTGAGTGATCACTGGATAAATGGTCTGAAAGCTGACTAGCAATTACTGGACAAATCTTGATTGAAACAGGACTGCTCTGGAGTTCCTTTAAACCTGTTTAATTGATCTCAGTTTGTCTAAAACCTTGGTGACCTTCCCCCTCCCCCACCAAACATTGTCAGCCTTTTACATGTTGTTACAGAGATTGGAGTTGTTATGTTTTTATTTCATTTTTTTTTTTTTAGCATATGTCAGCTAAGCAGTCCTGCTTTCAATCTATGGGTTCCAGATTCAGCATATTTTCATGGACCCCTACTGAAAAATAGTGTCCCCTGGCAACATGAGGGAAATGGGTTACTTACAGGGCTAATTACTATTGTGTGAATTCAAGGTGTATTTAATAGGTGAACTGGAAAAACTCTCTAAACTTTGCTTTCAGTTCGACTACTCTGGCCTGCAATTTATTGAATAACTCTGTTAAAGTTATCATTTTGGTTTGCTGACCACCAGTATGAAACCACCTACAGTCTGTCATGTAAGGGTTAACCTGGAATTGTAGAGAACTGACCCAGAGATTGCAACGTTAAGGCCAAACTAACAGAGTTGGAAAAGTTAGCTTGAGAACTGTTTACAATTTTAAGTTATTCTGACCCCCTAACTCTATCGGTTTCCTGGCCAATTCTCCTCAATTCTGAATCTGCAACATTTTCTCACTAGGACCTGCTGAGTGACATCTGAGTAAGCATTCTTTTTATACAGACAGATTGCTGACAGGGTAATACTCACTAAGGTGTTACTGCTCGGAAATCTAAAGTGAATTTCACAGTTTAGGGCAAATAGCCAAATGGGAAACTTTGCTGCTTGGCTATTTTGTCCTTTTTAAATATGAAATGATCTTAGAATTCTCAGCCTTTCACACTCTTAATAAATAGCATTGTGTGTTTTTGCTTGATTCAGGTTTAAGCAGCCTGTATTTGTCACACTACAGCGTTCACCCATCTTAGGGTGCCTATAGGAGTAACCCTAATGGGTACACTTAATCACCCATTCTCATTTACCATATGGCCTTTGGCAGTGGTGCCCAATAGGTAGGTCCTCAGATGTTGTTGTAAGACTTCAACTACCTTGATGATTTTGTATTCCTTTTAGAATCACAAAGCATCATGGAAGCTGTAGTTTTAAAACCTATGGGATCTACCTACTGGGTACCCATTCCCTATGGTTATAAACTCCATAGGACGTTTTTATGTCTTGTTTTTGTTGTCCCCCTCCCTCTCCTGCTGTACTGTAAAAGGGCATCATGTCCTGCAAGTCAGTTATCTAAAAATAAAGCTTGTTTGGAATCAAAACACTTCACTCTATACTAGCTATGTTTGTGGTAAGGCATGCAGCATTATATAATGGTGATCATTCATCAGTTTCCAGGCACAAAATGTCTCTTGGTGAGATGTTTGTTAGAATGTGCTCAGTTAACTGGATTAAACCCTTTTCAATGGGACTGTGCTGAATAGAATGTTCTAGTAGTATGTCAGCATGGAAATCTGCTCTTGGATACCTTAACCCTTTAGGATGTGAATTTGTTTGGTGTAGAGCAGTGCTCACTTGTGGCACTTCTAAAATAGTTGCACTTCTTTAAATGTATTAAGCTTTACTAAATTAACTTTAAAGTGAAGTTGTGGTGCAAATATGGTCATTACATTAATTAAACAGGGACAAACAATAGTTTGCTGTCCGTTACAAAGTAACTATTTGGCAGTTGTAGCAAATGCATTGTGCTCTCCCACAATGCCTTGCAACAAACCGTGCAGTAGGTAATGTTATGCTGCACTCACCATTGTGGGAGCACACAGATGAGTGTATTACCCACAGTAGACACAAGACCAGCAGCTGGGTTAATTAAATTTTAATCTATACATCCTGCTAGGAAGTTTGCTAGCACTCATTCTAGGTATATTCTATAACCTTAACCACTGTGTACCTTGTCATTTGTATATCTGTCGAAGAGCAGTCCACTATAAAATTCCCCATTGTAAACATTGGAATAATAATGTGTTTGGAAAAAGATTGAAATCCTGGGGGAAAATCACTGCATCCACATTCACTTCAGTCTGTGGGGAAACTGCCCCTGCAGCCATTACTACCATCACCACACCTGAGCTACATATTGGACCTGTCACTGAGCTTTTATTAGTATCCTTGAATTTCCAATCTTGCTTCAAACCTAGCTCCGACATTTCATTTTCATGAGGGAAGAAGTAATGTTTACTGAACAGAGCTTAGATCTAGTAAGCTGGTTACCAGAACCTTGGTAGAACGATAAAACGCGATTCATTCTTTTGCTGTGTGACTCGCACTGTTTTCCAGTGGGTTAGATCAACTGACCCAATGTTGTTTTTTTTTGTTTTGTTTTTTGTGGATTTAATTCCAAGCTAAAAATTTCACATTTATAATGGTGCTAAAGCCATTTATGTTGGTAGATGTTTGTCACTCGGCTGCGTGGCGTTGAGTCCTTGAATGGCTGCTGACCAGTAACTTTCCACCATAAATGTAACCTTCAGTCTATGTCACACATGTCATTTGACTGTCCTTGTCTCAACCTGAGAACATTCTGGGTCAGCTAGAGGGCAAGTGGTAGCCCTTACAGTCCCTTTTAATTAATGCATCTTCAAAAATTCATAGTGATACTTTGTCTTGGAACACTATTGTAAATCACAACTGGAGAGATTACAGAACATAACACCAGTCAAATTTATGGTCTCTGTTGTCAACTTAACAACCTGAAGATGAATTGTGCCCTGAAATGGGGGAACAACTTCTGTATATCTTATGTTCCTTTGTTAAATCAACCAGCAACAGTTGCCTTGCAATACATGGATTATCATTTGAGGGTGTTGTGGTCAATATGCTTTTAGACCAAGTTTATAGAGGAATGTTTTTAAACTGGTTATTGTCCTGCCAAAGGCAATCCACGTTAATTACATGGAGGTCCTTTTTTGATTTCTGAATTAGTTTGAACAATGGGCAATTGGTTTATACAGCAGTAAATCTTTTGTGTCCATTTTCTGTTTGTGGTTGTATTACAAGGCATGTTCTAATGACCCTTCTTTGTCTTAACAAGGTCCTTCCTTATCACAATTGTTTGATATGGCACAGGAAGTATCTGTTCTAGATTTTATAGTTGGTCGGTATTAAGCCCATATATACCCACTGTAGGGGGGAGGAGATTGATCTAATTTCATAATTGTAAAAAATAACACAGAACGTCTGATTTCCATATATGGAAATGCATTGCAGGTTGTCTTTTCCCCATTTGTAAAGGAACACTCTAAGCACCATAACCACTACAGGACACTGTATAGTCTGTAGTACACTGGCGCCCCACCTTCCATTAAAAGTAGTAAAACTGTTTGACTTCTTACCTGGGACCAGCCTGACTCCACTCCTGGAATCTATTACATCCAGCAGAAAGCCAGGAGCTCTTTCTTTGGAGCTTCAATGAGCTCATTGGCTGCGCGTTAATTTGCTAAAAACAACCTTTTACTACCAGGCTTACATCGGAGGACTTCTGGCTTTCTGACTGCTGGTGTTGTGGCAAAGAGTGGCGCCTGGTGGACATTTTGGCTACTTATGATGTTTGGGTACCTTGACACCGTAACCACTACAGTGGATATTGGTTTCAACTGAAATCTGAATGAAATACCCTAGAGGCATTGTTTGGGCAAACCTGGAGGGAATGTATTAAGATCAAAATATGAGCTATTCTTGGGGGAAATTTGCTACATAAGGAGAAATAGCCAGGGACTGTCTTGCAATGTGTAATACTTTGTCCCAGAATAGCACGTGTTGCCATTCTAAATATCTCCCTATATATGATAACATAACCTATGAAACGGGCGTATACCTAAACTACACTTTATTGAATAACCTTGCTTATGTGGGTTAATTAAAGTTTTGGAAATTCAGTTTCCAATTTTAGGCCATCAATCTGTAATAAACAGCTGAATTGGAATAATTCTGCAGGTCAGTTGAGCTATTACGCATAAAAATAAGAAATTCACTTAGAATTCCTGACCGTTCCCATTTTAGTGAATAACTGTGAAGAAGAGCTTACAGTCAAGATGACCCGTAGTATGACCGTATTAGCTCCAACTCCCCTTTGCTGTTCAGTAAGATTACTTTATGAAGGCAAAAGACCTTTGTTTTTAATTCACTGTCATCAGTCTTATTGTAGAATATTGGGAGCATAGCCAAAAAAAACCAGTTTGTTTTGCTGAAAATGCATATAATAAACATTATAGATTAGTCTCTAAATTAATGCGCATATTCCAAATTCTGGTTTAAGGTCTTCACAAAAAACTGCATGCTGGTAGAACATCACTGGTGTGTTCTTTGGCGTGGGAAAGGTTAAAGTGAATCACAAGGCATAAACCTTGTGTTTGCACAAATTAATTTGTAAAGAGCAGAGTTCCGGAAGGTATTGAGGGAATAACTTATTTACACAGTCATCTGCCAAGCAGAGTTCAAATATCGCCATCTGGAGACTATTGCTCCCATACTTTGATAGTGCTGAATAAGGATCCGGTTGACCAGCTGCTTATTTCTTTCACTCATTGGACCATAAATGCTATCTCTGTGGTACACTTTATTAAGGGGATAAGCATGCTGTAGGAAGTACATTTACAAATCAAACAACTTCTATTTCCACAAATGGCTTTCTGTTCTTCATGCATACAAAAGCTGTTTTTGCTGAGGGATTTTTTTGAAAATTAAAATTTTGTTTAAAGTTAGTATTTGACCTGGGGCTTCAATCAATGGATAGTGTAGCCAAGACAATAGCCCAGTGACTACACAACTCCAAATTAAGATGTCCATTTTGTTTAAAGCTGTACAAAGATGATCAACTTTATCTGACCGACAAGAAAACAAACTATGAAATCACATGTTGGCAAAACATCCTGTATAAATGACAGAGGTGTGCGTTACATTTTGGCATTAAAGTCCTACTGTGAGGGGAAGGAGCGAAGCCTACTGGCGTCAGTTCTAGAGGAAAGGAGTTTAATTTAGTGATAAGACTTTCAGGAGTATTGGCCAGTATTTCTTGATTTACTGGTCTCAACCTTGAATTCTTTTGCTTCAGACCCATATGCCTTTGGAGGCTCCTGTGGTGTTCAATTTGCATTATGACATGTTCTCGTATAGTTATGGTGTTCTAATTTTGTGCCCTCCATCATTCATGTGTGCAGTGGGCTACATCGGATCTGCAAGAGAGGTGTATGTTGTGAGACTACTTGAATGTATGCACTAAGAGGGTTATTCACTATAGTAAGGATTCATGGTGAATTCAAAGCGAAGGCCAGTGTAGTCCATATAAAAGCATAGCAGACTTACAGAATGTTTACATTTCAGCTATATTGACCTCAAATAGGAAATTCACCTTGAATTCACTTGGAGTTATCGCTTTAGGGAATAACCCTTTGTGTTACAGTGCAACTTGGTAAAGAACCAGAAGGGGTCACTAGAAGTTGAACACGTGATCACGTTATGACTTTCTTAATAAACTTGATAATTAGACTAGTGAAGTGTTTTTTTTTTTTTTGTTTTGTTTTTTTTTTTCGTAAAATATCTGGCAAATGTATGTTTACAATTTTTGTAACAACGTAAATGTACCTTTTTGTGGTTTTTGTTCAGTTTTTTAAAATTTTTACTAAAGTTGATTTTTATGTCTTCTCTAGAATGGGTTCCATAAATACTTCAGCAACAAAGGTACCCTGCCCGGCCAGGACAATAATGCCATTTCTGGTGCCCTGGTAGCTGTAGCAGGGTTTGGACTTGCTGGTTTGGCGTTCCTTCTGGCTGTACGATAAATCTGGACAGTCTCAAAAGATCATCTGGAGAATTCTGATCCTCATCCTGGGAATCTTACACGTTATACAATGAAACCAACATGAGCTGACCTAGACACTGTGTTTACAAAGCAATGATTTCCACTGCCATTCTTGTTTATTATAGCTAGTATTATATTTTTTTATGGAATGCATTATTTTAATTTAACTTTTTTTTTCAATGTGTAAACCTACAAAGAACGATATGAGCTGTACATTGTATAAACGTAACTGATTGCGGTTTCCCCATAGCAGGCCAGCAGTTATCCCATATTTTATTTGGTTTCTTAATTAGAAGGGTAAAGTCATACTGTACACAAGTTGACCATACAATTCAAATTAAATTCAAGAACAAAAAAAATCATATGCATAAGCATTTTTTTTTTTTTTTTTTTGGTTACACAATTTACAAATGTTACTTTTTTAAAAAATTTTTTTTTTTTTATAAAGCACGTTATACAGCGAGGTAAAAATATATGAAGAGAAAAAAAAAAATACCTCTCTGATCAGATCTGGATTTATCTTGTAAAAACTGGAATTCTTTAATATGGAAGGCAGTCATGCTTACTTTTCAATGTCCTTTTAAAAGACCATTAAGACTAAACCACATTGTTTAACGGTCTATCTCTTTTACATTGTATCATGCTATTACTAGACAAAGGACTACAGAGTATATTGTGATACCTGAGCTCAAGATTTCTTTCATTCAGTATTTGACTCTACATAGATCTTTCATTCTACACCTTCTAGCTCAAGATGCCCCAATGATCCACGAGCTCAAGATGTCTCAATGTTTGGCCTATGAGCTACAAGCTCAAGACTCCCATTAACTCAATCCCAAATGAGCCACAAGCTGCAGATGTCAAAGTCTAGGCCTTGAGCAATGCTCCCATCTAATACTACACCACGGCTAACTACATTTTCTTGTATAAACGATTGAAGAGGCATAAGGCTGTGTTGGTTCTCTTAGTGATGCCAACTTTGTGTTTATTATTACCATTATTCAGGTAGACTTTTACAGCCATGCTTTTCTTCTTTTGTAAACCTATGTGGAAACCGTTCTAGAATAAAAAATTGTAATTAAATGTTTTTTGTTTTGTTTTTAAATAGAAAGCTTGCTGACAATGTTAGTTAATTTTTGAATTGCCATCAATCTGTAATAAACGGTCAACTAGTGAGATTAAGTTAACTTCAGTAGGTAATTTTAAATATAATCTATATTGAGTATTTTATTTATAGTGAGATACATTCCATTTTGGCAATCCATGGGAGTCTGGCATTTCCATGCATAAGCACTTTGAAATTCTATATTGGGCCAGAGACATATGTTCTAATATATTTTCAGTTATCTCTGCCTCATATCAATTATTTAACTATTTTTGTGAGGGTTTCCTCCCCCTCCTCTCCTTACCTTCTTCTTCTCTTACCCCTGTGTCCTTAACTTAAATAAAATGCTTCTAGTTTTTATGAATATTGCTTGGTGTGTATGTATATTATATACGGCTTATCAAAAAAATGTATTCTTACACTTTTTTTTTTTTTTAATATTCTATATGAATCAACAAAGTAAGCCAATCCCTTTTTACATAAAACTAAACCTTGCAGTGTGTGCAACGGAATTTTAGAAAGGGATGTAAATTGGTGAAGCCAAGAAAAACAAGGATTTTTATGTTTTTTTAGATCGATGCATGTTTGCTTTAAACACCTTTTTTGAGCAACCAAAGAAACCGGTGTTGTACAGGGACACTGCAACCAACACAAGATATTAAGAAAAGTTTTTTGGAAAAAAAATAACTATTTTATTTTATTCCGCCCCCTCCCCCAGCTTGGCTTTGTACAATCATTCATGAAAAGGTTCAGGCAGAGGGGGAGCTTATTATAGTTGCTCCAGATCCTTAAAATGTGCTGCATAAAAGAGTGAAGTTTGCTCTTGGGTTATATAAATATATATATTTTTCTTTTTTTAATATATTCATTATGTACAATGTTTAAAAAGGGGTCAAGCTCTTTATCCCACTCCTAAATCTATTTCTTCTTCTCCCCTTTTGTGTCCATCCCTTTTCGTACCGATGGGAGAGAGTTCTGCAATCCCTGGTGGCCTTGCAGAAGAGAACAGTGGGACCTGTACCATACTAGGAGATGTATAATATGTGCATGCATTAAATTGTAAAAAAGACCAGTTCTTTGGACTATGGTTTACTTTTGCCTTTGTGCACATACCACAACAACAATAAATAAACTTACATCGAAAACAGCTGGCTCTTGTGTGTATTCAGGAGTGGACTGATTTATCGTTCATTGGTATAGCGGAAGTTGGTGTCAACTGTCAACAACAATTTTGAACTAATCCAATCATGCATCAGAAGTGTTCTACTTTCGTTTTGATGATATAATTGCAAAACATACATTTTAAAGAGATTTTACCTACTCTTTCTATGACATTGGAGATTGCAGTGAAAGTCATGTGTCTGTGTTTTTACAAATGAGACAAAACTAGGTTAATAGAATGTGAGCAGGATTTTTCATTTGCTGCGAAAGGCTTTAGATAAATTAGGGGACTGGGCACTCAAATTGCAGATTGTATTTAATGTAGATAAATGAAAAGTTGTGAATTATGGTAAACACATGAGATCATAAACTGAGAAAACACAAAAATTAAACCCTGTACTCAAACTACTCCTGGGACGCAGCAGTGACTATACTGTCCGTCAACCCAATATGCAAAATTCAAAACAAACCAAAAAGGTGGGGAAAAGGATAAAAAGTTACCTGTGCACTATCCCAAATCCCTATGCACATTTAAATTATTGGCCTATTTTATTTATTTTTAGTATCACTCTAATGGCCAGCCATGTCAAGGCAACCCTCTTAGGTGAGTCCAATAGTAACAATTCACCTTGCTGCTTTAACTAAAAGGCAAAATCTTTAGAGACAGAAAGGGGTATTTTCTAAACTGATACACATCTATCAACCCTTAATAGGGAACACATAGGTAGGCGGGCAGCACTGTTACATGGCTGTATAATCGAAAAGCAAGACCGAACACACAAAATTTAGCCCTGCACTCAAACTCCCACTACTCCTCGGTGGCAGAACTCCTCAGTCCCAATACATAGGCAACAATATCCAATGTCAGTCAGCAGTAGCTAATTACCATACCTAACTACAATGCCAGTAAAGTATTGTCAAGCATCAAAAGTAGCATTAATTCTCAGGATGAAAATACGCTTTGCCTATTTCTAAACATGTGGTAAGACCTCACATTGTGTATGCTGTGCAATTTTGGGCATCTGAAAAAGATCGCTATAGCACTAGAAAAAGTGCTGAGGTGGACTAAAAAATTAATGATGGGAATGAAAGATTTTAGTTATGAAGAAAGGCTAACCTATTTAAATCTGTTTATAAATTAGATATGATTATTATTATTGAGGTTTTGTGGTAGGCAGATATGTTTCCTCAGGTGTCTTGTCCAAGGATAGTTACTCGCAAGATGATCTGACTGGGACTGATATAATAACATTATAACATATATAACAGTGGTATAATGATAACTTTACACCAATATGTGTAGGGCCAAATACAAATCTTTGTCTGCAAATCTATTCATAAACATAACTATACATAGGACACAAGGGCACCCATTTAAACTGGAAGAAAGGAGATTTAATCCAAGGCAAAGGAAAGGGCTTTTTACAGTTATAACTATGAAGATGCAGAATTCTCTGCCTGAAAAGGTGGTATTACCAGAGTCTGTATTGATTATTAAACCGAGAAAGGATATTTTTTTTTACAAAAATATAATATAAAGGGATTTTTTTTATAGATCTAATAATATAGGGATTTAATAATAGTAACAGCTACTTGATCCAACAAGAGATCTGACTGCCATTCGGGGATTGAGAAGGACATTTTTCCTAGTTTGTTGCAACATTGGAAAGGACTTTGAACTGGTTTTTTTTTTGCCTTCTTTTGGATCAACAGCAAAAACAGATATAAGAAAGGCTGAAACCTGATAGACGCATGTCTTTTTTTCAGCCTATGTAACAATATGAGATTTACATCAATGGGTTTTCTAAAAGTAATTTTTTTTTCACCTAAAGACCCTAAAAAGTGTTTGCCTGTCATATAGTTGTAGAGACAATGGGAATGTGCCCACTCTATTCACCATAATCATGTTGTGTAAATACTGTTCCGCACTGTAAACAGACAGGGTTATTCAATAAATTGAAGGTGAATTAAAAGTGAATTTCATATTTGAGGTCCAAATAACAACTTTGAATTCTGACTTTATTAAATAAACATATCTGTTTAAAATAGCTGATTTCTTAAAATGGTCCAACTCTGTTATAGTCACAGCTTTGCAGTGTTAGATATTTAGTAAATAAATTATATATTAATTAAAAAAATCAGACCCTCATGCTTAATAAAGCAATCCTAGGATATAGCACAAACAAATTAATAATACACTTTTTTTCTAACAAAAATCATTATCAGTTTTTTGCGATTGTAGAGCTTTGGAGATCATATTTATAAAAAGTAATTTCCTTCCCATTAACATGTACACAGTAGACGCACACACACAAAAAGTACCTAACATTTAAAATAACATTTTAAAAGAATTTTGTTTAATTATTTCATTGTAGGAACGTGAGAGCAACACCGTGGGCAAATTCCATAAACAGGAAATTGTGGAGGGGATTTATTTAACATATGTAACATATATAATATGCTCCTATGTATTATTTGAAAGGATAAAACGGAGCATTGTAGAATTTATTCAATGAAGAGTGAATTGATTTGCAACTGAGCTACAGTCACAGCTAGGCTATTAACCTGAATTCAGCAATTTGGTTTTCGATGCACCAAAATTCACTGCTTAGTTTTTTCCCTATCTACTCCTGGAGGAGATCGATATTTTCAATTTTTCCATTCCAGTTTCCTGTATTTATTCAGAATATTACTGAGTCTGTGTAACTCACTTCCCATTGAAGACTTCGCCCTTGTAATTGCCTGTATAACGCAGTAACTTGGCAAACTACCATTTATTTTATGGCCGTCAATAAACTACATGGGGTTGTGATATCGTATAACTCATGCGTAAATCAAGATTTCATCAGCAACAGTGGGAAAAAGAAAGTATGTGTGGCGTATGTAATAGGTAAAACAAACAGAAACAAGAACGCATGAGTATGACGTACAGTCAACTGATTCATTCATTCTCATTACTACATCGTCAAGTCGGGGGCCCACATAAAGATAAGCTATTTCAAACACATCTCATTAAAGCACTGGTTGTAATAATAAAATAGCAGCAACTTTGAGCGGAGTAGAAGTAGTATGTTTGCTTTCAGTGAGTGCTTAGAGTAAGATTTGCAATACTTTTTTTGTCAATCAGTTTTTAATTGAGTGGGATAGCATAACACAAGCAAAAGCATAATAGATGATTTAAGGACTTCACATGTCGAAAAGCATTTTGTACAGAGATAGAAATCATTCATTTTGTTATAGTAAGTCATACAATATAATCAAGACTAGTGGTCTCCAACGCAGTCATCGTGGACCATCAACAGTCCAGGATTTATGTATTTCCCAGTTTTATTCCAATGGAGATACCGATAAAACCTGAACGGTTGGTGGTCCATGAGAACTGGGTTGGGGAACACTGCTCAAGATGATGTAACTGCACTTTTTAAGAAAGTGTAGGACAATATGTAGCAGTGATTGCACTAGGTGTGATGTTTAGTTGTTTTGTATGTAAAACAGAATAATAGAAAAGAAACATGGCAACTGCAGGAAAACCTCAACATAAGTTCATCTAAAAGTGAAATGAAAATGGCAAAATATGGCAATGCACTAGTGACCTTCGGCACTCCAGATGTTTTGGACTACACCTCCCATGATGCTTTATCAGCGTTATGGGTGTAAATGCATTATGGGGGATGTAGTCCACAACATCTGGAGTGCCGAAGGTTGCCTACCCCTACACTAGTCCATTAAAAAAACAAAACACAAACTTGGCAAGCCTAATACCGATGAGTATAGACTACTTGGAGGCCACATTACCCATAATTAAAACATGTATGCTGAAGCACAATTCATTATATGAGACATAATACACCGATATCCTATGACCTATGCTTTGATGATCATGCTAATAAAGTTAGGAACAAGACCAATTAAATATGTAAAAAAATTAATAAAACTAACCATTGCAAAAGGCTCTTCTGTAGAAAATGAAAGCATGATGCAGCCATATAGTCGGATCCACAACACAATTTAGCCTGTACCCAGGCTAGGGAAATCTACACAATGAGGCCATAGATATAGTGCAGCAAAATGAACCCACTGAGTGGTGCTCCCAGCTCCATCCTTACACATTGTCCATGGACCCTTCCACTCCAGGTGCTTGGTCCTGTGCAAGTTCCTGACATTGGAAAGCCTCCCGAGTTTGTTAGTACCTTTCTGGGGTCCTGTCCCATAGAGTGAGGAACAGTCTTTGACATCATTAGGATCTGATTATACATTAACTTGTAGCTTCCAAGCATTAAGGGGAAGCCAAAATTGCGTACAAAAGTTATCAAAGGTTGTATAAAAAAAGGCATCTTCCCATCTCTGCAGTGACTCCCTCACCGACTTTTGTGATATTGTGTCATCCGCCGCCATCTTGGTGTCAGTTTGCAATATTTTAAATCTCTGTCTTGCTCTCCTCTCTTCATCTAGTTTTTTTTCTCTATCTCTTTCTACATTTTTTCGCTCCCCAGCTCTCCTCATTGGTCTTTTACGTTCTTCCATCATCTCTCTTTCACTCTCCACCTCTCTCTTTTGCCATCTGTCTTAATCTTATTTTCTCTCACTTTATTACTTTTTTCTTTTTTTTTTTCCGTTTACTCTGTCTCTTTTTCCATCTCTGTCTCTCTCATCCTCTGTTGCCCTATTTGTCCTGTACAATATTTTTAATTAATGAATTATTTAGAAAAAAAATCACTTTAACACAAGGTACTTTTACTAGAATAGCAAAAATACCAGGGTTTTATTCACTGTATGCAATCCACTGTTGCAAAATAGCCACTAAATCTTACAAACAATGGATATCCAAACTACGAATATTAACGTTATTAATCATGCCTATCTTATACTTTTACTGCTCTGTGACATTTGTGTTTTTAAAAATGTGTGTATGCGCTTCTGCTTTACCATATCAAGACTGGAAGTTCTGCAAGACTCAAACTGCAGAGATGTAACAAAGGATGGGCCAGGT